TTTTTTTTCTTTTTTTTTTTTTCTGCAAAAGGCTTAATTTTCTTTTGGTCCAAGACCTGGGAGGGGGCTCCAGAGAGGTGAAAAAGCTGCCTAGTGGCTGGAGGGAGAGGGTTAGGCCAAAGCCCTGATGCCAAGTGAGCAGGAGCCCCTCAAAGGACACCGGGCTCCGGGGCCTCCTGGTCATGTTTGAGGGTGAGCCTTTCGAAGAGGTACCTGCCCAGCCCAGCCTGGGGGCCAGCCAGCCTGTGGACATTAGTGAGGTGGTTGCCTATCTTCTTGATGAGCTTCACCTCCTCATCCAGGAAGTGGTTCTCCAGGAAATCACAGAGATGGGGGTCTGTCTTGGCAGAGCCCAAGGCATGAAGATCCAAAAGAGCTTTGTTCAGGTTCTTCTCCAGGGCCAGGGCAGCTTCCATGGCGTCCAGGGTTTTACCCCACTCATCTTCAGAAGGTTTCTGCACGTCTTGGAAGAGCACTCGGCCTCCGCGCTGGCTTTGCATTTTCAGGAGATGCTCAGCACCCTCACGTTTCTCCTTGGCCAGCTCGCAGAAGAAATCGTGCCAATTAATTCTTATCTTGATCCTTTTGTGAGAAATACTTCAAGATGACTATGCACACTTGGTGATAAACATTAATATCTACTGGGGTATGGCCATGTGTCTTGGAATTCATCATGTAGGAAATTTAATCCTCAAATATTATTGAAACTGTAATCTCCTTCTATCCCCTCAACTTCTACCCAAGTTGAAGCTCCTTCATCATCATCTCTTGCCCAGATTACAACACCATATTCCTCTTCGTCCTCTCTTCTTTCTTTTTGCTCATCTCCAACCCATTCTCCAAACCCAGAATAACCTTTTAAAATATAAAGGTTTATTTTGTTCTCTTACCTATGACTTAAAAACTTCCCAATTCCCTTAGGACAAAGTACTAAATCCCTCACACAGTTCTCAAGGGACCACATATATCCACCCTTGCCTTCATTTCCAGTCATGTCCAGTATCATTCTCCTTCTAAATCTAAATGTTATCCATGGTGGCCTCATATTTCTCTCAAGAGTCACATTCTCCCTTTCATCAGTAAACCTTTACATGTACCATTTCCTCTGAGGAACATTCTTTCTCTCTTTCCCTGACCAGTTCCAACTTGTTTACTTCCACCACCACCCCTTTACATATATATACTTCCCAGTCAATATTTCAGCTTCTCGAAAAGGGGCAAAGGGAAAGTGGGAGGGGTAAGGAAAAGGAAAGAAGGGAATGGAATTAATATGAGAAAATGAAAAAATGGAAACAAAGTCTTTGTAAATAGGGAGGGATGGAGGGGTTGAAGGGAGGGCAGGGAAAGGGAGAAAAAATAAGAACCAAGAGAGTATGTAAAGATATCTCCAATGATGAATGTCATTATATTGTACACCTAAAATGTACCAATAAAAGGATATACAAAAAAATTACTGGTTTGATGAAATTTTTAAAAAACTATTTGAAAAAAAAACATTTCAGCTTCTAAATCGTTGCCTCAGGCTCTGCGAAGAACACAGACTAAAACAAGAGCTCATGAGAATGCACCTCAGAAGAAAGAACTAAGAAAAGAAACACCAACAAAAGTTGCAGAGAATAGCTAAAAATAAATTAACTACCAAGAAATCCGTAATCTAGATCTACTGCTAGCAAGTAACAATGACACACAATTACATTATTTTGGAGAGATAATACTGTGCTTGTATCTTTTTCCTGAGTCTATAACCATCTATCTTGTTGACTTGAAGCATCCTTTTGCCTAGGGAGAATTTGATTTGTTATGGAACGAATGTGAAAAGAAAGACTTGTGTAATACTCCTTTTCTAATATTGTGAAATACAATTTTATTGGCATATATTATGGCTTGTATCTAGCCATCTCCTCAAATTCTCATACAGTCATGGGTGGGGCCTCTTGGAGGCAGCTGGATTTAGAGTGCATGATGCTGGGATTAAGGATGTGATGCTGAGATTGAGTCACAGTGGGATGCTAAAATTACAGATGCCCCACCCTGGGTATGAGTGTTACTTGCCCTAAGGGACAGAAAGACAGCTGCTGTTGTCACTTGTCACTTGACTCTTGCTGCTTGCTTCCTCACTACGTTGCTGATTTGCTGACTTTCTGCCTTCTGCCCACCACGATGTCTTTCTCTTCTATGATGCCCATCTGCCATGCCACCCTGCCTTAGAGCCAGCCAACTATGAACTGAAACTTCTACAAACTGTGAGCCAAAATAAACCTTTCCTCCTTTAATTTTGAGTGTTGGGTATTTTGTTTCAGCAATGAGAAAAGTAACTAAGACAGAATCTTACCAACAGTTATTACCTTAACAAAGTACTTATTTATTTCTTCTGGTTCCCATTTGTCCCATATCAGAACCAGTATTGAAGACAGGGTTCATTCTACATACAATGCAGAGTACTACCCACAATGCAGAGCATGCTGCCTTGCAGTTGATGACAACAGCACATGAGGAAGAAGATGCAGGAAAGCCAGTCTCTTTGTGCACAGGTGTATGAAAAAGAAGAAGAACAGACATTGAAATGAACAAGATATGGTCTTAATTTTACTATGGAAATGGTAGGATCAGATCAGATCAGATCAGATCAGTTGGTATGAGAGGAGCTTCAACAGTTCTCTAGTCCACACTCCCAATTTTGGAACCCATACAAGTAGCTCCACAATAAGAAAGTATCCCAGAAAAGATAAGATAATGAAGCACTATAGTCAAAGGAAAATACTGAAGTGAGGTTTTCCTTGACAATCTTTCCATGTAACATTGATAGTGCTGAATCTGAGTGGAGAATTTGCAGAGCGTCCTAGTTACTGCGTCATTGTTGAGACACAATACCCAACACCTGCAAATTAAAGGAGGAGAGATTTATTTTTGGCTCAAAGTTTGTGGAGGTTTCAGTCTGTAGTCCACTGGCTCTAATCCAGGGTATCATGCCAGAGATGCACAGCAGAGGAGAAATAGCTCATGGCCTGGCAGCAGGAAGCAGAGAGTGGGATCAAGGGAGGAAAGAGGAAGTTATGCTCTTCTAGGGCATACCTTCAATGACCCGCCTTTTCCAACCAGGCTTCATCTCCCAAATCACATTTAGCTATAAACTCAACAGTGGACTAATCCACTGATAAGGCTCACACTCCCCTGATATAGTACCTCCCAAAAGCCCCACCTAAAAGCACATGAGGCAGAGGGGGACATGTAGTTATAAACCATAACACAGAGGTCAGGAGTGGCAAGGCTCTCTGTTGGACAGGCAAATTGCACCACTCAGAAAGGGCACAATGGGATCTGAATTTTTCTGGGTACCAAGAGGTACACCAGCCACTGACCTCACCTGCAAACCTGAACAGAAGCATTGACAACCATGTGCATAAGGGACATCAGACCCAGCAATCAAAGTAACAAGGACTCCTTGCCCAAAGACCCTAAGTTTCTCCCAAGTCCCCATTCTCACCCACATAACAGACATCATCTTAAAATGGAGCCAAGATGAAGAGTAGTTTTAAACTTCTTATACACTATTTGTTTCTAGATAGATTGTAATGTTGCTTTAAGTGAAATGTTTAAATTAAAGGACACAATTGAGAGTAATCTAGTTACTTTGGAGGGAGGATACTTCAGGAACAGATTTAGTTTTCTACTACCTAAAGGGTGGATCTCTGAAAGAGAGGAAATTGGTTATATATAAAATTAATAAATTCTATTCCTCTATAAATTATGAGTTAAATTTATGACTTTGTCATGGTAAATAATAGGAATGACAATCTTACTTGGTAATATTGGCTGGATAAGCTTCTTAGTTGCCCCTATTTGTAGGTAACATTCACTTGTCAGGACATTCTCAACATAAGTTTCTAATAAAAGAGGCAAATAAAATAGCTCATTGAATGGACAAAGAAATAATGCTACTAGAACTTCAGATGAATATTCACTGAGATGAGTGGCTAGGAGGAAGTTTACAGAAAATATTAAAGGGCCAACTAAGGAGCTAGTTCTCTAAGTATTGACAGTAAAATCACATTTTTAAGGATAAGAATGACATTGGGCTAATCCATGCTTTAGTATTAACCTGACAGTGTGTTAGGACATTTTTAGAAAAAGGTTTCAGCACAAATGGACATCACAGATGGGGCAAACTTGAAAGATATGAGTCCTTGTGCACACAAGTATGGTCACTCTGTCAACCCCTTCCAAAAGCATCGGGAGCATTTTACTAGAAGAATTCAAGTTAAAATGAACAGTAGAGGCAGTCTTGAATTGAAGACAGAAAGAATGTAACAAAGCCCCTGGAGGGGTGAGTACAAGAGCAGAAAACAAGGACGTCTCATGGATGACTTAATGGAAGATGGGTGACAGGAGGACTGTCCCTCCTCACCCTACCCTCTCATGGCCAGCTTTCTGGGTGTGCCTAGGACATAGCAGGACAGATCCCAAAGTCTGGAATGCACAATGATCTCCTTTCTTCTCATGCCCTAAAAATAGCATTGTGACTCCAGATCATTTGAGAGATGCTGCAGGCATAGACGAGGTGGTCACTCATGAGTGTCAGGGTACAAATAGATGTCAGAGGAGCTCTGAATGAACCACCATCTCAGAACGCAGGTCAGTGGCCTGAGTTACAATCCAGCACTGCATTAATCAAGATGCTTGACCTTAAGCAAATTATTTAATCCCTCTGGACCTCTCATTTCTCTTATCAAAATGAGGCATAGTAGTTTGCCAACATTATTTCTAACAGCTAATGACTCTAAGATCTCAGATTTCTTCATTTTTACTCTAAAATTCACAAACACCTATGCTTTGAATTTTATGTCTGTCAAAATTCACAAGAATGGCCTTTTCTTTTCAGTAAACTTATAGGTTGAAGATGAGTTTCTACTTCCAAATCCATGCTATTTGTAGGTTCCATTCTAGTTCAATTCAAGAATGTTCAGACACTGGAGTGGAAATTTACTCAGAAAAAAAAGTAATAGCTGAGGTTTTCTTTGATTCATCACAGATTTATTTATTGTTCTTGCTTTCTTCTAATCTACCTTAAAAAGAAACTTGCTGTAGTTTAGATCTCAAATATCCCCCAAAGGCTTATGTGTTCAAGGCTTGGCCCCAAGCCTGTGGTACTATTGGAATATGGAGGGACCTGTAGTAGCAGGAGCATAGTGGGAGGATGTTAGATCCTTGGGTTTGTGCCCTTGAAGAAGATACTGTGATAGTTTTTTTCTTGTCTCTCTTTGCCTCTTACCTGCCATGAGGGGACAGTTTCCTCTCCCACCACCTCTGCTCCACATTTCCACCATATGCACTGCCTTACCATAGTCTCAAAACCAATGGAATCAAGGAAACATGGGCTGAAATGTCTGAAACCATGAGATAAAATAAACCTGCTGTGGTTTGGATCTGAAATTTCCCCACTAAGGCCTCATATGTGCAGAGGCAGGGCTTTTGGAAGGTGACTGGATCATGGAGGCACTGTACTGATCTGTGGATTAATCCAGGAATGAGTTCAGAGCTAAATGTACTACTGG